AAAAGTGCTAAAAAGGAAAATTCCTCTCGTTTCGTTTTCTGCTCTCTCGCTGTCTCAGGTTTTCCGCCCCCATGCTTCCTGCTCCGCAACTCCCACTCTGCCTCGCTGACCTTGCCCTCCCGTGTTGCCCTTGTCTCTGCACTCGCTTATGTTGAATCAACTTTGGTGAGTAGCTTTTCAAAACTCTTCCCAGTCGGCCTTGTCAATCTGCCATCTGGGAATCTGTGAAGGACATGCATTATCTATTGGTGTGCTCAGGATTATTGGAAAGTGATCACTTTCGTAAGGATTATTAATGACTTTCAATTTGAGTAAGGGTAGGAGTGAAGGGGATGCAATACTGAGATCTATGGACGAGTAGGTGTTGTTGGCTAGGCTGTAATATGTAGGTTGCTTCTGATCCAGAACACAAGTGCCGGATGAGAAAAGAAACTGTTCAATTAGACGACCTCGTGCATCGCAGCGAGAATTACCCCATAAACTACTGCGTGCATTAAAGTCTCCAAAAACCATATAAGGCTCACGTAATTCATCTATCAAGGACTGAAATTCTTGTTTTTCAAAGCAGTACAGTGGAGGTATGTAAAAAGATCAGATGGTGACGAGCTTGTTCAAAAGAACTGCTCGAACAGCCACTGCCTCAAGGGATGTTTGTAGTGGTAAATAGGTACATGCAACATCCTGATCAACTATAATGGCCACCCCACCAGATGACGCTACAGCGTCATCTCGATCCTTTCAGAATGTTACATAACCACGTAGGAAATTGGTGTTCTTGGAATTTAGGTGTGTCTCTTGTACACACAGCACCTTTGGTGAATGTTTGTGTTAGAGTTCCTGGGTATCGTCAAGGTTTCTAAGCAGTCCTCTGACGTTCCACTGTATAATTTGTGTATTCATGATGAGCGTAAATTAGTGCTGTGCGCACTAAAAAAACTGCTGCATTAAATCAGTTCTTGTCAGGCCCCGTGATGATGGCTTCTGACTTTCTGGCGCGCTCCAAACCGTGCCTGTCCTTCAGCGCCGAAAATACCGTTGGACTTGTTGTTGTGTCCATCACCTCGGACGAGGTGCTGGATGTCCGCTCGTGGTTCAGGCATGCGAACACGGAAATCTTAGCCCTATCTGTCAAAACAGAAGACCCTGGGGCTTCAGGTCCGGAGGCCAGCAAGCCTTTTGGTGGCGGAAAAGCCTGTGCTACTTCCGCTAAGGGGGTGAATTCAGATCCGGAGGCCTGCAAGCCTTTTGGTGGCAGAAAAGCCTGTGCTACTTCCACTAAGGCGGTGAATAGCACAGCCGCCCGTCCACTTTGTGTGGTACGAGCGGGCACTGCGGAGTGGCACTGCCCCCTTTGGTGAATAGAAAAGTTTGGGGAATAGAAAAGAGGCCATAGAGTATATATTCGGCAGCCATGCCAGTCGCTTACCACAGAGCGCAACATGGGGACGCAGCAGCACAATTATAAAAAGGCATGCCAGCGCCAGCTGTACAAAGCCACTTAACCCAATATTATGTGACCAAGAGAAGGCAAATACACAAGGTTAACCCGCCTGGAAGATGGAAGTAAACAGAAGTAAGGAGATGGCAGGAAAGATTCAAAGAGATAAAAAGACGAAGATCAGGGGAGAGAAAGACCGGAAAAGGTGACTACCAATTTCCCCTCGGTGAGTAAGCCGAGGGGTGCCGTCTACGTGAAGCTGGGGCCAAAGGAGTGTGTTGCCTCTGCCGGGGGGCCTTAAAGGTCCAATCACCCGGCGTCGGCTCAACCCACAGGATCCCCTTTTCCCCAGACATGGCTCAGGTACGCAAGGCTAGGCGTAGGATGGAATCGAAAGTCCCCCGTTAGCTCGGGTCCATGGTGTCGCTACGCACCAAACGCTTGCTTGTGCAGACGCTTCTGCGGGGGATAGCATAGTGAATGCTGGCCTGCTACAAAAAATTACTATTATATATGGTGCAGCAGGTACCCAGAAGTTAGCTTGCAGCAGTTACCAAGAGAGTATTTAGCAAAAAAAAAATTGGGGGACCCTTAAGCTTCGCTTTTAAGAGTTGAACGCGATAGCGAAATACGGCTCCTCGTGAACCCTTCAACCGCTAAGTGCATACTTATTAATTTGTTTTGTTACATACACACGTATGGACACAAACATGCACACAGTAGATTGGACCAGCGCACACTATTATCACCGAATGGGCTCGTTTTCATCGTCACACCTGTTGAACAAAATGCGTTAAAGAAGCCCTGAAACACTTTTTCAAGTAACCATGAAATTAATTCACTAGAAGAGCTTATTACCTTATGAACTCAATGCCGCAAAAATTTTAAGAATTCGCCCAGTGTCATTTACTCTCAAATCGCAGGTTTCTTGGACTCATGTAATTTTTTTCATCGATCACAACACGGATTTCGTAAAGGTCACTGCAGCGAAACACAATTAGCGCTCTTTCTTCACGACTTGCACACTAACCTAGACCGTAACATGCAGACTGATGTAATTTTTCTAGACTATGCGAAAGCGTTCGATAAAGTTTCTCACCGCCACCTTTTGCTAAAACTTTCACACCTGCACCTAGACCCTAACATTCTTCGTTGGATTGAACAGTTTCTCATGAACCGTTCTCAGTCAGCCATTGTTAATGGCCACCTATCTAACTCTCTCCCAGTCACATCAGGCGTTCCCCAAGAATCTGTCCTTGGTCCCCTTCTTTTCCTAATATATATTAACGACCTGCCCGACCATGTATCCTGCAGCATTCGCATGTTCGCGGATGACTGTGCCATTTATCACACTATCAGTAACCAGCATGATCACCTGTATCTCCAAACCAATCTTAACAACGTGCTTAATTGGTGTAACACGTGGTTAATGACCCTTAATCCATCTAAATGTAAACTTGTGTCCTTTTCCCGTCGCCACAGCCCATATCGCTTCCAGTATTCCATCGTTAACACCGCAATTGAATCAGTACGATCTTATAAATATCTTGGAATAACCTTGTCTTATGATTTATCATGGCGTACCCACATCGCTAATGTAGTTTCAGCATCTAATAAAGCACTTGGTTTTCTCAAACGCCATCTCCGCCTAGCCCCCCTACATGTAAAATTACTTGCGTACAAATCTTTAATCAGACCGAAATTAGAATATGCATCTGCCATATGGAGCCCACATCAAGCGTATTTAATCAAAGCATTAGAAGCGGTACAAAACCGTGCTGCCAGATTCATTCACTCATCTTACTCATACGATATCAGTAGTTCGTCTTTGAAAGCAAAATCTGGACTGCCACCCCTTTTTTTGCGTCGCCGCACTGCAACTCTCGTACTTTATCACAAATTATTTCATTCTTCCCTCAATCAGCCACCTTATATAGTAGCCGCAGCACGCATATCTCATCGAACCAATCATCCATTTCAGGTTTCCCGCCCATCATCGCGCACCACTGCTTTTTCTGCCTTGTTCTTTTTTCGAGCGGCCACGGACTGGAACGGCCTCCCCCGGGACATCGCCAACATCGCCTCATCATCTGCCTTTCAAGACCGTATTATTGATCATCTTCAATGCTAAAACAACTCTTACTGCTTATTGTTAACCTAAATAAAACCCCACCCTTTATGTAATGCCCCTTTTAGAAAGGGGGGCCTTTAAGGTAATAAACTTAAACTGAAACTGGAGTCACAAAGGTTTGTCGCATGCTGCAACTGCATTATCTCTTCTCTTGTTCCGACAAAAGCGCTGGAAGCTAAGCAGGTAGGGGTGGCAGGGCAAAGAAACTACAGCGCCTTGTGACCTTGAGCACTTTTTTTCCCTTCGAATGTGCGGCCTTTTCAGTGTGATCGCGCGCGCACGCGTGGACAAGTAGCGGCTTTTTGCGGCTATCTCGATAACTTAATTTTTCTGTCACAGATGTACCAACAATTATTTGCGGGTTTTCGTAGTTTTCACGGGTTTTCTCTGGGTGAGGTGACATCACACATTATGATTAGGCATTGATTTTATCACATTTAAAATGTTTTCAAGTGTTTTTAAACACTAACTGCATGCAATCAACAGAAAGCAGATGTGTGTAAGGTCCACAAGTTCATTAGTCATTTACTACTGATCACATATTTTAAAGAAATGGTGAATTTCCAACTGCTTCTTTGCTATGGGTATGTGCCTTTAGCACAAAGCTCTCTATACCAGTTGAGAAGCATCACGGTTTACCATGCGTGTGCTTCGTTTCAGACATTCGTTTACTAGCAAATGCTTTTTCTTGAAGGCCTGAGGTACTTACTTTTCATTTTTAGACTGTTAGCTTATATAAACACACAAATTTTTAAATAGTAGTGGGAAAGCAGCAGATATTTTCTTCTATAGAAGTGCAAAAAGTATGAATTAACTGAATGATGGAGTTTGAATGAAGTGCCTTTTAAATGCATTGAAAGAATGAGGCCAACCAAAAAATTGAATTTTGTTTGAATAAACCAAAACTATGAATTATCACAGTTTGAATTATGAAGAGTCTACTGTACAGAAACCTGAGTGCGTGTTACAAAGTAACCCCATTTTACGGTATTGACTCTAGAAAATACTTGTTCCAACACGAAGTTGATAGATGCGGCAGTGGCTCAATTACGGCTCTTTTGGACATGAAATTTGGGCAGGAAGTCCAGAAAATTGGACGCTAACTATTTTTAGCATCCTAAATTTTAGATGTTCTTATATATATGGAAGTATACTGGAATATGAGTTGCAACATGCTACCCATTGTCAAAGCAGCAGCAAGGGTGCCCAGCGCTGCAGGCATAGAGTACAAGCTGTGATGCAAGCACTGTTTCAAATACTGGTGTTTGCAATGCCTATTTGTCGTTGGCCGGTGTTACAGTGCAGGCCCCTTCAATCGTAGCCGCCGTTTCGCAAGTCATATTGAGTGCCACTGTACGTTGCTAGAATTGGGCATGCTAGTACTACCAACTACTCTGTAAAAAAATAATAGCTTAGGTGGCCACAACCAACCAGTAGTGGTGCTCAAGTCCACCGGACTCTGGTACACAGCTGGCAGTGGTGGGGGTGTCCTGGGTGCTACACGGTCGTCTTGTTTCTCGGGGCCTAGCGTGGGTGGCAGCAGGTCTCCGGCCGCCCCAGGAGTGGGCAGTGTCGGCTTCACCACCACACTGCCAGCCGTCGTTAGTTCAGCTGCAGTTGTAGAAAAAAGTGGTAAGCAGCTGGGTTACTTGGTATGAATGCATAATCATAAACAGCACAGAAAAATCAGACAAAAGGGAAGAACTACACAGGATATGTGCTGACTGCCAAAAGGAATATTTGTGATAAGGCATTGCTGCATACTTTTGTGAATGGGGGTCTACCCGGTCTCTTGTGGTAGTGTGGTGTAACCGGGTGGAGGAAACGAACGCTGACAAGAAGAGGATACGAAAAACAAGCAGGTTTATGGCACTGTTTACACTTACTTACAGCAAAGAAAGGTTAGGGGTTTAACAAACCATGAGCGTGGTGGTTGAACTGTTACATAATTCAGAGCGACGTCCAGCACTCTGCGGCGTCATTTTATGCCCTATCAGGCTCCTCCTTTTTGAGTGGAACACCAATCACACACACACAACAGGTGAGGGGGACGAGCATGCACGATCCACGTGAACGTCCAATATTGAGTCGTGATCACTGCACTGCAAGGTGGCGCCAGCGGGGCTCTTCCTCGTCGTGTGTGTTCCGCTAGTCGAGAGGTCCCAAGCTCCTGACAGCATACATCAAAGGGTGCACCGATCTGTTTGCTCAATTAGTGGGGTGATGCCGCCACGGTCTCTTCCAAGGAAGATGCTGTCTTTGTTGTCCACTCTCGAACGGTTTACAGCGTTGTGGCGACACGACGTCTCATGCTCCGGCTAGCAGGGACAATGCCTGGCAGGCATAGGCAGCCGGCCGGTCGGCTACTTGATTGAGGATTAAGAGAGCGCCGCTCCCCCGTCAGCTCTGGCACCGGTCACAACAGCTTCCCCCTCGCCAGATGAGTCGCCGAGGGCATCAGTCACCGCTGCTGCACGAAGGGACGACGAAAGGGTCGTAGTTGAAAGCCAGAAACTCGCCTTCTCTTGCCGCACGGTCTGGGTAATTGCCGAAATCTTCGACAACATCTGGCAGACTGGGTGCCGAAGGGGTTGAGAGCCTCCCCAGTAGACCGGCTTACACACAACGGCGTCTGCCCAGACGAATTGCTGGGCCAAACGTAACAATACCAAGTGTATGTGCAGGAGTGAAGCTGTGCCCACCAAAAGATTGCGCTCCATCTGAGTAGGGGCAAGATAAACTGACCGCTTTCAGCAAGCGAAATGGAGCATTTTGCTCTCATACCCGACGAGTTTCATGTGGCAAAATTTTCAGGTCAGACACTGCTTAAAGTGCATCTTTGTCTTACTAGTTTTCTTTAATAAGCCCCAAAAACCTGGTGAACTTTATTGAAAATTAGGTCACCCATACTTGTCTTGATGTGTTACTTTGCTGAAAACAGCGAAATTTTATTTTGTCTTAACGTGGCATTTGCACTAACACATCAAAGCAACTTGGTCTCTAAAAGGACACCACCAGAAGAGAGCATGTTTTTGAGACCTTTGGCAGGCAAAAGTAGGCTTCTCTTTTGCTGGCAAGCCACTATGGAAGCTTTCGCTCGAGCATTTTTGCTTTAACCTCCTTGTATGGGTTAGTTGGTATGGGTGCATAATAATAAATAGCACGAAAAAAAAAACACAAAAGAGTAGAACTATACAGGACAAGCACTGACTGCCAATTGTAACTTTTATTGCACATAACTAGTGCTGAAACAACAGAGTTGCATAATATGTGTACACCCAAAAACAAAAGTTTGCGGGACGTGGGCCTCACAAATGCAAATTTCTGCTCTGCTAGTGTGTAATGCTTCTAATCCAACTAGAATATCGATGAGAGCCGACAGATGGAAACACGTAGTCAGATAATCAGGGTGAACAGTGGAAGTGCCTCAGACATGCTGGCCGATGTTTCGATAGCAGCACCTATCTTTGTCAAAGGCACCTTGTTATCCTTGGCGTGCTAGTTTCAAGAGGGTTAGTAGCGACCTGTTCTTCTGGTGGTGGCGCGTGTGCCTGTTGGCAATTGCCGTCTGAAAAGACAAAAAGGATAAAGCAGAGGTGTGCAGTCCTCGCTTCATTTTCAACTGAGGTGGTAGTGATTCAAAATGTTCTCGGAGGGGGAAATAAAGGGGGGAAGGGAAAAAAAAGAAAGAGAAGAAACACGCAAAGTAGAAGCGGTGTGCTGCAAAGTGGTGTCTGCTACAGACACAAAAAAAGAAAGACCTGTAAAGTTCGAAGCCTGCAGACGGTCACCGCATCTGGCCACCACAGCGTGGAGTCATCAAGCCTTCTTGTAGTCCTTGGTCTTCACCAGTTGTACTCGTCAAAAAAAAAAAGGATGGTTCGATCCGGTTCTGGGTAGACTACAGGCGCTAAACAACATTACGAGGAAAGATGTTTACCCTCTTCCCCGCATAGACGACGCTCTCGATTGTCTACAAAGTGCAGAATTCTTTTCCTCGCTTGACCTTCGCTCAGGTTATTGGCAGGTCCCAATGGCTGAGTCTGATCATACAAAAACGGCGTTCGTCACACCTCATGGTCTCTATGAATTTACCGTAATGCCATTCGGACTCTGCAATACGCCCGCCACATTCGAGCGAATGATGGACAGCATTTTACGTGGTCTCAAATGAAACATATGCTTGTGCTATCTTGTTGACGTTGAGGTCTTTTCACCCGATTTCACTTCGCATCTCACTCGTCTGCGTAAAGTTCTACAGTGCCTTACAAACGCCAGGCTTCAGCTTAACCAGAAGAAATGTCACTTCAGGGCTAAATAACTCACCATACTTGGTCATGTCGTCTCGAAAGCCGACATCCTTCCCGACCCTGACAAGCTTCGTGCTGTTGCCGAATTTCCTAAGCCGACTACAATTAAAAAACTACGGAGCTTTGTTGGCCTGTGCACCTATTTTCGTTGGTTTGTCCGGAACTTAGCTTCCATCATCGCTCCGCTCACCAAACTCCTTGCTGGCCCTGCAGATCTTTCGAATTGGACAGCAGCCTGTGACGAATCCTTCGCAACGCTGCGCCAACTCCTTACCTCACCACCCGTACTGCGGCATTACGATCCTACTGCACCGACCGAAGTACACACGGATGCAAGTGGCGTCAGCCTTGCAGCAGTACTCGCGCAACGCAAACCAGGTTTTATGGAGTATGTGGTCGGCTATGCCAGCCGCGCCCTCACTAGGGCAGAAGCCAACTATTCTGTTACGGAAAAAGAGTGCCTGGCGATTGTGTGGGCGTTAAACAAGTTTCGCCCCTATTTGTACCGCCAAACTTTTGATGTGGTAACTGACCATCACGCACTCTGTTGATTGGCTTCACTGAAAGATCCTTCTGGTCACTTTGGACGTTGGGCACTACGCCTCCAGGAATTCGACATACGCGTCGTCTACCGATCGGGGCAAAAGCACTCTGATGCAGATGCGCTTTCACGATCACCCGTGAGATCTGATGATACGGAAATATCAGCCCTTGACCTTCCCCTCTCTGCCGTCAGCGTCACAGACATGTCATTCGAACAGCGGAAAGACCCTTGGATTGTCTCGCTCTTGAATATGCTTTCTGACGCATCAACTTCCGGTTACCCGCGTGCTCTTCGCCGCCAAGCAACGCATTTCGCCATACGGGATGGCTTGTTATACCGTCGCAACTATCAAGTGATTGGTCGTAAATGGCTGCTAGTCATACCCAGCCATATGCGATCTGATATCTGCGAATATTTTCATGCTGAGCCGCAACACGCACACGCCGGTGCGCTAAAGACGTATCAACGGATCTGCCAACGTTACTACTGGCGGGGTATGTACACATTTGTACACAAACACATTCGCTCATGTTCCCTGTGTCAGCAGCGCAAGACATTTCCTCATTCACCCGGTCAACTGCAGCCTTTACCATGTCCTGCACGCCCATTTGACCATGTTGGGATTGACCTATACGGCCCGCTATCGTGCTCTGTTGGTGGTAATCGATGGGTGATTGTGGCTACCGACCATCCGACAAGGTACGCCGAAACGGCAGCGCTACCTTCGGCTGGTGCTCGTGACATTGCAACCTTCATCTTGCATCAGTTTGTTCTTCGTCATGGTGCACCACGGGAGCTCCTGAGTGACAGGTGCCGCGTATTTTTGTCCGAAGTTCTGCAGCAGCTCTTACATTCATGCCGTACGGTACACCGCACATCAACAGCCTACCACACTAAGACGAACAGCCTAACGGAACGTTTCAATAGAACCCTCGGAGACATGCTCGCTATGTATATTGATTCCGACCACTCCAATTGGGACGTTGTCCTTCCTTTCGGGACGTATGCCTACAATACGGCGATTCAGTCAACAACGGGCTTTTCTCCATTTTTTATTTTATATGGTCGTGACCCATGCAGCACACTCGACACAATTCTGCCATACAATCCTGATGCCTCCGAGTTCAGCCCAGTTTCTGAAATGGCCGAACATGCTGAAGAGTGTTGTCAGCTTGCACGTTCTTTCACAGCCGATAATCAAGCCCTCCAAAAAGATCGCCACAACCGTGATCTTGTTCAGGACACTTTCCCCGTCGGTTCTCTCGTGTGGCTCCGACTGCTTTTCCACTCTCCTGGACTGACTCCCAAGTTTGCACAGAAGTATACAGGCCCTTACCGCGTCATACAGCACCCTTCTTCTGTCACCTATGTGATTGAACCGCTTAAGCCGTCCACGGACAAACCTGGCCTTGGTCGTGAGACGGTCCACGTCAGTCGCCTCAAGCCCTGCTACGACCCTCCTGTTCTCTTGTCACCTTGAGTCGCCAGGATGGCTCGTCTTCGTCGCCGGGGTATTGTAGTGGGGAATTCGCAAGGCACTGACTAGTGGGACTATCTTTCTCCGAAAGCGAAGCGCGAGTGTGTGCACTAGCTGTAGACGATGGACTGCTCGAGAATTTCTGTCCATACCGACTGCCTGCCTACTACCTGGCGTCGCATTAAACTCCCTTGCATACAAAGTTGTCATCAGTACACCATCTTCAAGATAAATGGTCGTGTCTAGAAAGTTGATGCACTGAGCCGAGGTATTGGAGGTGAACTTTATTGTTGTATGAAATGGGTTTAGGAATGAAGTGAATTTATCTAGATTGTGCTGTCCATGTCCCCATATTAAAATCATGTCATCTATGTACCAAAGGTATGTGTGAGGTTTGTTTTCACAGTGAGGCAGGAATTCGGTTTCCGTAATTCCCACGAATATATTTGCGTAGGTGAGAGCAAATGAGGTACACATGCTTGTTCCCTGTATTCGAAGGTACAATATAAAGCCTTATTAATTTGAACTCTGTTATTTCTAAATCCTGCTTAATTCGATGTATTTACACGATACCGTATTTTGCCATGCAAGTTTGAGTGAATAATTTTAAGCTACGGCCGACACCAGTCCGCTTAATTCGAAAACATTGGGTGCCGGTTGCCATGTGCCAGTTCTAGATCCCAATTACGCCGCGAACCGCGGTAACGACGGCCCTTAATAGCCACAAGGCAATGCAACATAGCAATAATAATGAGTGGCAGCTTAAGTACCACAGCCTCGCAACTTCCAGCACAAAAAAAAAAGGAAAAACAAAAACTGTCTCGTGTTCAACCAAAACGGCCGCCTGCAGAAACGAAACATGCTTCACTGCAGTGCAGCAGAGACACGCGGGCAGCATGCTTTTCGCGACTCATCCGTTTTTTCCTCACATTTTTTTTTTCATTTTTCCGTACTGTTTGCGCCAGAGAAGTTCACTTCTTATTGCGCTATGTATCAACTAGACCCAACGCAAGTTTCACTTAAGTTTTTAGCCAAAACGCGTCGCAATTTTCGTCATACTGGCCATTATTAAATTACTAATTGTACCAGAGAGAATATGCACATGGTCGCATCATGACGTGCTGACGCAGCGAGGAGCAGACGACATACTGCCCCGGTGTCACTACTGTGCTGCAGTGAAGATGTCTTGTTTCCGCAGGCGCACATTTCGGTTTATCCAATAGCGTTTTTTTTTGTTTGTTTGTTTGTTTTCGGTGGCAGCAGCGAGGCCCACCGTTCTCTCGTCTTTGTGGCAAAATTAAGACCAAGGATTGCTGGAAAACAAAACCCTTGGCGTCGCAGGCAAGCCGGCACTGCAAATGACAAGCCCGAATAACCTTGAATAGTTACCTTGCATCCCACTTTTTGTATGTTCTGTTAGTTCGAAAATCCCCTTAATTCAAAGATTTCTCACAGGCCCAGTGATTTCGAATTAACAAGGTTTTACTTAGTAGTTTTCCTCGAATTCAAAGTAGTTTTGTGACAGTACAATGTTGTGCGCTCTGTTGGGATAATGTTAGTTCAACTGAAGCTAAGCCTTCAGGGATAAGAATAAAAGCGGTAACATCTAGTGTGACGAGAATGGCGTCTTGTGGTTCTTATTAATTTCCTCTATTAATCTCAGTAGGTGGGGTGTACCTTGCACAAATGACGGTAATGATTCGGAATTACACTTAGAAAATGGTAATCTAACTGGTAAATTCTGTTTATGTTAGGATGCCAAACACAGGCTGGGACATTTATCTTTGTGTAATGCTCCCAGACAAAGAGAGAATATAACTTTCTAGAACATTCCATGTCCCTCAAACTTTTGTTGTTAGGTGTACATGGCACATGAGGGGCTAGATCGCAAACAAAATGCAGAAAACAGCAAAACTGAAAACTATGTGCATAAACTGATGATAGTTGAGCTCTTTGGCAAGCAAAGCAATCGAAGACGCTCATGAACAACGCCCATGCAGCAGCTAGAGCACCGGCATAGTCAGCTTCCACAATTCGTCACGGCGTTTGCTCCCTGTGACAATACAAAATGAGGGTGTTGACAAACATAGGATCACAATCACAATAGCGACAGTTGATTGATTTGTGAATTTAACGTCCCAAAACCACCATATGATTATGAGAGACGCCGTAGTGGAGGGCTCCGGAAATCTGGACCACCTGGGGTTCTTTAATGTGCACCCAAATGTGAGCACACAGGCCTACAGCATTTTCGCCTAAATCGAAAATGCAGCTCCCGCAGCCGGGATTCCATCCCGCGACCTGCGGGTCAGCAGCCGAGTACCTTAGCCACTAGACCACCGCGGCGGGACACAATCGCGACAGTGTATACCGACAAGTGCAAGTTAGTGTGCCTTTTCGAAAAAATGTGCTCACACAGGCAAACATTAATGCATACCATTAGGCATACTGGCTGCTGCCTCACTCAGAAAGCACAATGAAAAAGTGGGCAAATGACCCCCTTACGAGTTTCAGGTGCTACACTGCCATAAATGCACCCAATTTCCAAAAGACTGTTCTAGTCGGCATGAGTAAGTCTTAAACCACTACATTAGTAATCAAAACTGAACAGATAAACTTCAGTCAAACCCCTTTATAAGACACACTGATATAAGAGACAAATGGGCATGAGAGACACCAGTGTGCCTACAGTAAAATAGGGGTTGATAGGAAAATACATACGAGGTAACCTGCTTATAAGAGAGATCTTATAAAAAAGACAAGAATTTCTGCCCAGAGGATGCTTCTTATAAAAGGGTTCAACTGTATTTCAGCAAAAGTTGTGTCAGCAAAACATTTCTCTTGTGGAGTAAAAGGGCATTACGTAGACTAGTAGCACAAATACTAAGGCCTGTGTTGTTGCTGGCTATCCATAAGCATTCAAATTCATTGTAGGAAATTTTCAGCCCTGTCATGGTGGGGTTAACTGTGTTGTTGCTTTTTCACGTTTGTGCAACTGGTCCCGTGGCTGTTGTGTACAACAATGAGTCAGCTGGTGATTGAAATAAATGTTTTCATGGTCAGCAGCCCCAGTATTTACTGTATGTGTGAGCACATTCTTCCCTTCGTACTTGTCTATTCGTGCCTGTATCCAACAAGCATTAATGCAGCACCCCATCTGCCGAACATAGTCGCATGAAATCAAGATCAAGGATATTGTACCTGCCACGGAGGAAGGCTTCTTAAGTGACCACATAATAGCAAGCCAGATACTTTATTTTCATAGATTCGAGTTTCACCCACAAAAGCTATTTGCCCACACTGAGGGAATCTTCTAGACACCTAAACAACAACAGGAAGAAGGAAACACAGAAAAAGAGCGTGTTAGCCCCCAGTGCAACATTAGTGGAGCATTCATAATCCCTGTAATTCTCTTCGTGTGTTTAGCTGAGTTTCCTTAAATGTCTTTCTAAATCCATTTCTTGGGAGATGATTTAGTCTCCAACCAAAAGTTTTGAAGAAACCAGAAGTTTCGAAACCGACTTGGTTGCTTCCTCAGGGGCGACTGCGGGGCTACGTAGCAGCGGCGTCTTCAAAGCACTCGCGGGGAAGATAATGACCCCCCCCTCTCTCTTTCTCGTTTTACCGTAGAGTGCAGTCCATGTGTATACACTGGGGAAAGGGTTCCGAGAGAGCGGTTGATGTTATGGGCTGTCCTCTGTATGTGCCACGACTCGAGTAACAACCTTCTCCTCCAGTTCGGCTCGCTTTCAAGGATGGCCATCGCTTCAAAATTTATCCATTGCTCCAACGTCTTAGCATGTTTGGCTACTACGCTGCACTGAGTGAGACGTTGGAGCACCGGATAAATTTCGAAGCGACGGCCATCCTCGAAAGCAAGCCAAACTGGAGGAGAAGGTTGTTACTTGAGTCATAGCACATACAGAGGACAGCCCATAACATCAACCGCTCTCTCGGAACCCTTCCCCCAGTGTATACACATGGACTGCGCTCCACGGTAAAATGAGAAAAAGAGAGGGGGGGTCATTATCCTCCCCGCGAGTGCTTTGAAGACGCCGTTGCTACGTAGCCCCGCAGTCACCCCTGAGGAAGGAACCAAGTCGGTTTCGAAACGTCGGGTTTCTTCAAAACTTTTCGTTGGAGACTAAATCATCTTCCAGTTTCATACCCAACCAGACAGACTTCTGTCGAATGTTTACATTGAATCCATTTCTTGTATTGCAATATTTCATTTGCTACATTTTGTTCGATTTTCTAGTGCTTGCTTATAACTGTCACATTGCACCCTTACACAATGTTCCATACATTGGAATCCGTGAGGTATTTCTTTTTCAAAGTTTCTCTCTCAGCTCATAAATGGCCATTATAACATTAGCACTTCCATCCAATGTGCTAAACTGCTTGTACACTTTCATGCATACTCACCCTGCCAAGATCTGATACGATATTGCTGTGGAACTTAGTGTAGTAGCACTCACCAGGAATGCACTGGTAATGGGCTTCAAGGTACTTGAGGGTGCCAGGACAAGGGTCGCCAAACACGTCTGTTGATGCCGGCAGTGTACAACCTTTCTTCACGTCACAGCTGAAAGACCCAGATGGTTGCAGTATAAGTTGCAAGCCATTAAATGCAATTCGTCAAAATTCTAATTAATCATGTGTTCACACTACTCATTTATCTTGCAGAGAATTGAAGAATTAGTAAAACATATATACATACTTGGTGTTCCAAGAAATGTGTCCATAATCCTAAAAAAAATCAGGATAAAGCGATTTTTGCTCGCACTCTTCCCAGATGCATGCTGTTTCTGTAGTGGCAGGCATCTTAAGGCAATTGAAGACAACATTCAGAACAGCAATTAGGAAAGTCATATTATTAAGGTTATAATTAGTGCAGTTAGACAGATAGACAGTAAAGTCAATTGCAAGAATTGAAATCTTTCACAAGAAAAACCCATTGCAGTTCTGAGGTTTCGGAAAAGCAGCCTCTAGCAATAATTTTTAAATAATGAAATTCATCCCACATTAGCGGTGGAACCAAAACACAGAAGAGTAACCTGCCATATTCATCTGAAATCCACAGAATGAGTGAGCCTCACTATACTGAATCAGCCGACCTTGTTGTGTGGGTGCGAGGGCTGTGCTTGCAATAATAGCAGGCACACATGTTAACGAACACAGATGAACTGCATCCCTGCAATAGATGTTTTGAACAATATGACACTCTGATCATCTGCTTGTTGGACTCATCGTTGCTTCAGTTCCGGTATCACCATTGAATCTATCTGAATCTCATTACACCATAATTATTAATAGAAGATGCCTTCTTTTTCATATATAAAAGCTACAATAGGTTTTTTGCATAAATAATTTCAATTCTATTGTTTAACATAACTGCTTGACTCCATCAATTAAAGTCAATTACACTCATACCTCATTATAACAAAGTAGCATCTTACATGAAATAAGGTTTGTTATATCCAAAAATTAAAAAAAAAAGGTATATTCCTAACCCTGTATCTACTGCAATACCATTTTTCATTTACTTCGTCATAACAAATGTTTTGTTATATCAAGGTTTGTATGTAAATGAACTATCTAAATTACTGCTCCAAATGATGCCTTCAAATTGTGCAGACAGCAAGCAAATCTTGCACTTTCCTGAATTTTTAATGATTTCGAACACATTTCTTGAAACACTCTGTATATGCGACATAGTACGTAATGTATAACAATGTATATAAAATGACCATGTTTCTTTTATTGCCTCTCTATTTGTACAAAAATGTCTGTTGCATGCTTAACATCCTGTCATGAAACATATATCAGTATAATGCACATATTAGTTTGGTTCCAAAACGTTTACTGTTCTTATGCTCTGATGTACAACGCCTCATTGGCCTAGTCAAGCCTTTTAGTCACAGAGGATATTTCTAGTCTGCCTAAGAAGTCTATACAAGGAGACCCCGGCTATTTCTGGTCTCTACTAGGAAGTTTATACGTTGTATTAAATGACCTTGTAGGAGACTCCAGGGATTTCTAGTCTACATTAGAAGTGTGTACAAGGAGGCCCCAGTGGTTTCTCGCCTGTGCTAGGATGTTTATACTCTTCACTAGGAGACCCCAGAGGTTTCTAGCCTGGACTAGGAGACTCCAGAGGTTTCCAGTTTGTATTAGTATGTTTATACTATGTACTAGGAGATCCCAGAAGTTTCTAGTTTGTACTAGGAGACTCCAGAGGTTTCCCGTTTGTACTAGCATGTTTACACTGGGTACTAGGAGACTCCAGATGTTCTTAGCCTCTACTAGGAGACTCCAGAAGTTTACAATTTGTATTAAGATGTTTATATAGTCTGTACTAGGAGACTCCAGACGTTTCTAGTCTGGCCTAGGAGACTCCAGAGGTTTACACTTTGTACTAGAACGTTTATAATCTGTACTAGGAGACCCCAGAGGTTTCTAATCTGAACTAGGAGACTTCAGAGGTTCCCAGTGTATACTAAGAGACTACAGAGGTTTCCAGTTTGCACTAGGGGAGTCCAGAGGTTTCCAGTTTGTAGTAGGATCTTTATACTCTGTACTGGGAGACCCCAGAGGTTTCTAGTCTGAACCAGGAGACTACAGAGGTTTCTAGTTTGTACTAGTATGTTTATGCTATGTACTAGGAGACCCCATAAGTTTCTAGTCTGTACTAGGAGACTCCAGAGGTTTCCAGTCGGTACCAAGAGACTCCAGAGGTTTCCCGTTTGTACCAAGAGACTCCAGAGGTTTTCCGTTTGTACTAGGAGATTCCAGAGGTTTCCCTTTTGTACTTGGATGTTTATACTCTGTACTAGGAGACTCCAGAGGTTCCCACTTTGTACTAGAAGGTTTATACTCTGCACTAGGAGACCCCAGAAGTTTTTAGTATACTAGGAGACTCTAGAGGTTTACAGTTTATCCTATGATGTTTATACTCTGCACTAGGAGACCCCAGAAGTTTGTAGTCTGAACTAGAAGGCTTCAGATGTTTACAGTTCGTACTAGGATGTTTATACTCTGTACTAGGAGACCCCAGAAGTTCCTAGACTGTACTAGGAGACTCCAGAGGCTTTCAGTTTGTACAAAGATGTTTATACTCTGTATTAGGAGACTCCAGAGGTTTCTAGTCTGGCCTAGGAGACTCTATAGGCTCCTACTTTGTACTAGAATGTTTAAACTCTCTACTAGGAGATTCCACAGGTTTCTAGTCTGGACTAGAAGAATCCAGAGGTTTACAGTTTATCCTATGATGTTTATACTCTGCACTAGGAGACCCCAGAGGTTTTGTAGTCTGAACTAGAAGGCTTCAGATGTTTACAGTTCGTACTAGGATGTTTATACTCTGTACTAGGAGACTCCAGAGGCTCCCGCTTTGTACTAGAATGTTTATACTCTGTGCTAGGAGATCCCAGAGGTTTCTATTGACTTAGAGACTCCAGAGGTTTCCAGTTTGTACTAGATGCTTATACTATGTACTAGGAGACGTCCACACATTACCCAGTGTTTTTTGTTTTTTTTGCTTTTTCTGTTTTACGTTTTTTTTTCTGCTTTACATTTTCTTTTCTTAGTTCTTGACACGTGTTTGTTTTCGGTTGTGTGCCATCGATTATGGGAGTGAATTTTTGTTATATCACGTTGTTGATGATGACAGGGGAAGTCAGGAATGACGTGCATGCGTGTGATGTATTTATGTGTTCGCTTCGAAATAAAATTTTCAGTAGCTAGTAAGCGCTTGTCTGTGTCTTCTCTGAGTGCGTGTATTTTTGCACTTGTTTCATCATGAACCTTAACCAACACGCCCAGCTGGCAGTCATCCTAAATGAAATACCTTGGTGCCACGCTTTCAGCAAACTTACTAAGTTGGGAACCTTATATCCACACCGTCTGCAAAAAAGAGGTAGGGAAGCTATCCTTTCTTAGAAAAAGGTTGCGAAATGCTCTCGCCCAAGTCAAATTAAATGCATACAAGACACTTATTCGCCTTGCCTTCGAATATGCCGACATAATATGGAGTCCCCACCAACAACACCTAATAGACAAACTTGAATGCATTCAGAAATTATCTGCATGGTTCATCTACTCTAAATATTCGTGGCATTCAAGCATCACTGACCTAATTAATAGAGCGAATCTTCAGCCATTTTCCAAACGACGAATAATTTCTAGGTTAAAATTCCTATACTTACTCTATCACGGTAATTTTAAGATACCGCGCAATCTGTACTTACAGGACCCATTTAAACACTCACTCGGGACAAACCATAACAAGGTCATTTTTCAACCTGCTAGTCGTGTCAATACACATAAGTTGAAGCCGTTCAAAAGAAAGCCATCCGATTTATCTGTCGCAGGTATGACTGCGCTTTTTCACCAACCACAGCCCTCGTATCTCTAGAGCTAACCACCTTAGCTGCCCGTCGTGAAATTGAATCACTAACCTTTTTTCACCGCATCATTCACTGTTCATATCGCCTGTCATCGAACAAATATGTCATATATGCAAACCCCACTCAGACCAGAAGCAATCACACCCTTAACGTTTCCCCGTATCATCCCCGCACAGACACGTTCAAATATAGCTTTTTTCCGCGAACAATTGAGCGTTCGAATTTGTTGCCTGGCCACGTGCGCTCTCTTGACTTGCTTACATTTCCTTCTAAAATACAACTATTGTAAACTACGTACATATACCGCTTTCTTTCCTTTCCCCCTTTGTACGAGTGCACTTTTGTACTTAGATGTGTATATTAGGTCGATCTTATGTAACCCTTTACCATGCCGCTAAAACTGTACACCTCCTTCTATGCTGACTTTCGAACACCTAGCTTCGTCGTTACTGTGTTTTCTTTCTTTTTGCTTTTGTTTCATTATTGAACTTGTTCGATGCACGGTTTTGTGCGATGTACCCACTCCTGCTATAGCCCCAAGAGGGGCTGCAGTATGTTAAAATAAATAAATAAATAAAGAAAGTATTCTTTATTCCCAATGGCCATTAGTTTTTGGAATAGGTTGCCAGTCAATGCTGTGAATTGTTCTACGCTGGAATTTTTTGTCAACTGTCTAGAAGAGATTGACCTTTCTAAAAATGTATACATGTGAATCATGAAGTATCCTATGTGTATCAATACTTCTTTTTTTTTTGTGGAACATGTTACCACACATGTTTTTTTTTTGTGGAACATGTTACATTGTGTTTCATGTTACCTCTATGTATCAACTCCTGCATGGGCCCAGTTAGGGCCTGCAGTATGTACAAATAAATAAATAAATAAAAAAACACTGTCCGCACTGATCATAAGAGTGGATCCACGTTGTGCTTGCAAAATATGTACAGTATCTCTAACTACTGTCCTCGGAAAAGCTTACTTTCTTTTAGAATCACTGGAAGTACACTCTGATTATTCTGAAAAATGAAGACTACTGAGTGTGTAGTTCCCCTTATCATTTGAAGGATTTTATTATTGACTTTGCTGACTGAGGTATCAGAATAAAATAGTTTAAAAACTGGTTGTTTTTGTGCTTGCTTCAGTGGGTGACGCAGCCACGTACTCTGGATGGGCATCCCCACTGATGCGTTTTTATGATATTAATAAACAACCATGCTCTGATGTTATCTTCACATAAAAGTAAAATGTAAAATACAGCAATGCAGCATACAACCTTTCCTTGTGGGTAGCGTAGTCGGTGCATAAAATGTCCCAGAAATGCCCTAATGGGTAGCACAGTAGGTACGCGAATTGTCCTGGTGGACGAATTTGAGTATGTTTCAGTCCCCTATGAAGCCTGAAATAGTGGCAGGAATTCTCTGGGTGTACTATTTGCAGATCTTCAGAAAACAAGCTGAGGCAAGACAACAGGTTCTTTCTTCGATTCCAACCAGATTAATTGAGCCTGTTCTTGAGATGTTCAAATGTCCTCACAAAAACATTTTAAAAACACACTTAAGATGTGTTTGTGTTGTCTGGGAGAAGACCCCAGAAGTTTGTAGTCTGTACTAGGAGACTCCAGAGGTTTCCAGTTCGTACTAGGATGTTTATACTCTGTACTAGAAGACCCCAAAAGCTTCTAGTCTGTACTAGAAGACTCCAGAGGTTGCCAGTTTGTACTAGGATGATTATACTAAGTACTACGATAATTGAGACGTTTCTAGTCTGTACTAGGAGACTGCAGTAGCTTCTAGTTTGTACTAGGACGTTTACACTGTGTACTAGGAGACCCCAGAGGGTTTTTAGTCTGGACTAGGAGACTTCAGAGGTTTCCAGTTTGTGCCAGGATGTTTATACCTTGTACTTGGGAACTCAGGAGGTTCATGTTTATACTCTGTACTAGGCGACTTTGGAAGTTTCTAGTCTGTAATGGATGTTTATAGCCTGTACGAGGATTTTATACTAGGAGACCCTTGAGGCTTTTAGTCTGTACTAGAAGCCCGTACTATGAAAGTTGACATGAGCAGTACCCTATGTTGTGTGGGCACTTACCTCTGTTGCATCACCCGAAAGGAGCGGGGAGACATGCAGTCGACGCTCCAGTCAAGTGTGCCATGCTCGTTGCAGATTGAGATAGAGAAGCGGCCATAGTTGGCACGGATCAGCTGAACCAGGTGGCCCTCATCGCACGAGATGCGCAGCTGGGAGCCCTCGCACGCATACGCTGTCCTGTACCGTGGAGGATCCGCTGCAGTGACAACAATGTTACTAAACAGAGGAAGATGAGCTATTATGTCTGCACATACCACATGAAAAATTGACAGTAAAAGAATATTTCAGTGTAAAATAAGCCCTCCGGCAACTGACTTTTTACTATGTCGTGAGTGATAACATGTGCTGAATGTAATGAAGCTGTTGTCTTCTACCAAAGTTCAGTAAACCGAGTCTTCCAGTTTCAATGCAAAGGCTGAAAAAAAGCTAAAAAATAGCTCTAGTGTATGTACAGCTGACGACAGGAAAAAATTGTTGGCTGGAATACAGACGCTCACAAAGCAAGAGGCTTGTTAAGTAACGTTTACCGAGTGCACCACTATTGTCACTGTCAGGTGTGTGTGTGTGTTTATAAAAATGCTCGTTATAGATTAAGTTCATGGCCAAATGTTTTGAAATTTCACCAGCTCATTTGTGAACATCGAAAGTTTAACTCGCATGACACAGCTTATGAGAGAAAAATGGGCCTCATGAAGGCGAGCTCACTGATATGGATCCTTCAGCACACACAGCGCTTAATGAACACACACACATGGGGCGAGAACGAAGACGAGCACTGACTGCCGGCAGTTGGTTTATTGTGTGCCAACATGTATAAAGAGCATGATGAAAAGAAAAGAGGGTAAACAGGAATGGAAAACGACTTGTAGAGAAGTCTCTTTTCTTCCTCATTTCTTTTCATTATATGACTGCCAGCAGTTTGTTGCTACTGCAAACAAAGCGTCGGCAGTCATATAATGCACTTAAGGGCATATAGGTCTTGAAACGCTTCTTTAACATAGACAACATTGCTGACCAGTAGCCGAGCTCCCAAGAACACGCAAGCCATACATCATAGCGCAGCAAGCAGCCTTGAACTTACAACTAATTCTCAATGTCAGCTCTAAATATTTCTAGAAATAATGCCATATACCTAAGCTCATGGCCATTGGATAATTTGAGCACTATGAACAGCATAGTCGGCGTGACCCCTGCGGCAGGCCACTATGTGCCCGTGCTCGCATCTCACTGAAATTGGCAGCAAGGTTCTGCTTTGCGTTGCATAAGTCGTTGCCAGACTTGTGGGGTCAGTGTTGCAAGGTTGCCACCAAATATGGCAAAGAAATTTGCTCCTGTAGTTGTACACGCCTTCCCCATGAGGGCGCTGTGTCGTCTGCGGTGCTTATTGTGAGTTTGGGTGCGACGTTGGCCGTTTCAACTAACGGAATGAACGGCGTGTTGCAGAAGTCGGGGCGCATTTTTTTGCTGTGCTTGCGAAATATGTACAATATCTCTAAGTACTGTCCTCAGAAAAGCTTACTGTTATCTCGACAGCTCAGTAAAACGAAAAACAAAATTATCTGATTACGTTTTCTTATTACTCAACTTGACCATGTGTTCTCTTGCTTATGATTAGAACCGTATCAAAGTATTCACGTGGACGGGCGGACAGACAGACAGACAGACAGACGGACGGACGGACGGACGGACGGACGGACGGACAGACAGACAGACAGACGGACGGACGGACGGACGGACGGACGGACGGACGGACGGACGGACGGACAGACAGACAGACAGACAGACAGACAGACAGACAGACAGACAGACAGACAGACAGACAGACAGACAGACAGACAGACAGACAGATAGATAGATAGATAGATAGATAGATAGATAGATAGATAGATAGATAGATAGATAGATAGATAGATAGATAGATAGATAGATAGATAGATAGATAGATAGATATACCCTCGAAGTGCCGGCCGTTCGCCAAGAAATGCGTCGCATTTGTAAGTGGCGACGCCAATAGTTGACTTTCAAGACAACGTCAGAGAATACGCCGCATCCAGTGGATGATGCTCCAAATTATAGGACTGCACTTTGTATATGCGTACATATTTGACCACTTGAGTAACGCATCATTTCACATGCAAAGTGTAACAAAAAATAAGCGCTCTACTATGAGGTGACGTGCAGTGTACTATAAATGGGCCGGTCATTTTGAGGAGTTTTGAAAGTATAATGGCGAGCAGTGGCACGCAATGAACGGCCACAGCGCAGCAACCACGAGACCAGGACGGGCGATTATTGTCATTACACACTCGGGGGATACGGCGTCGCGCGCATTAATCAAGTCGCGGCCCGTAAACCGATTCCCACCGAGGTCACTCACCTGCGCGGCATCCGCATCGGCTGCCTCCTCGGTGGCTCCAAGGCAGGGCAGTTTTGTTTTTCCAGACAGCCAAAAATGCGCAACTTAAACTAGGGCTTAAACGGTCATATGTACACGACTACATATGTATCATTGACATTTGAACGAGTATATGTCGGGTTACAAATATAATTATGACTGAATAAGAAAACTTCATTAAGGAAAAATAAAGAGGATACTACAGAACAATATGCACTTGGTGTGCTTCGCGCAATGACGTCCCCCCTTATTTAAATATAGTGCAGCGTTATCCAGTGCTAGTAAGGAGTATGTGCGAGTCATGGGAGCCATAAATCCCAGCACTTGCCCCCAGTAGCAGCCGCGATGAAACACGCCTCGAGGCAAACACCCGCCCACGACCGAATACATTACAGGGAAATAGGGCTATCTCGACGGAATTACTTGCCCGTTGAAACTAGTCAGCGTTAGATAATGACAAGCAGGACACATTACTAAGCCTTTTCATTACAAACATTACATACGGCTTAAACAGCTGTGCTTTAAAAAAAACTCTGAAGGCGTTCTACCTAATTTTATACTCTGTTTCAGAAGTTCCGTGCAGCACTGTGGAAGCTACAGGTCCTCTCAACCAATCAGGAGGGCGAGCACATCTAAGTGTATCCTTCCGCGCTCTGTCGTCTGCAAGCGACGTGCGCTGCAGCGAAAGCGGCAAGAGCGTCTCGGGGCACTGTGCAACTGCGCAGTGAGATGACCTTATAATTGTGAAGCGGTTAAATATTCTCCTCGGCACCATAAAAGCACGCGTCTTCGAGATACTTTAACGCAGACATTTGAGGGACATGGTTCAGTGGCACATGTTTCGGTGGAAAGCGCCGCACTAACCAAATTGAATATGAGAGCACCACGCTTCATCAGATTTCGTATATGCATGCCTATGGGCAAGCGAAGTGCCGCTCGCGTTCGATACGAAATGATGGCTCTATTCCCGGCATAGAGTTTCCCAAAATTAACTAGAGGGCACTCTGGCGCTGCGATCGTTCAGCGACCATGAGAATGATGGGTAGTAACACACACATTTGCTAGTCTTCGTACTTGCGGGTGGCGAATCGTACTTGCAGCTACGTTTATTGCTGGTTACGGTTTTGTTTTGAAGGAAAGAACGAAACCTTTTGAACTTTGCGACTTAAATCAAAATGGTAAGTTTAAAAGAATAAGGTTGTGAAGCGCAAACGGTGAACATTTGCTAATTTATGTTTTCGTAAAAAAACAGCTCCAAGCCACACGAACACACACGGAGCCATAAGCAGGCCAGAAGTACGAAAATTAGACAAATGTGTGTACTACCCATCATTCCCATGCTCGCTGAAGCGCCGTGTGTTGCAGCTGCCATAGACACTAGCGCCAGAGTTCCCTCTAGTGTATATTAAGAAACTGATTCCCGGTGCCTCGCCGTGCTTATCGAGTCTCGCCGTGCTTATCGTGCTCCGCTATCCACTTGTACAGCGCGCGCATGCCGACATTGGTGAACGCAGCCGTTCTCTTAATGAGAAAGCTCATGCTTGCATTTCTGCTGCCCTCCTTACGCAGTGTCTAGAACACATTTAGAGCCAACTGCTTCGCTTCCGTGTCGTAAAAGCTGATCCGGGAACGATATCGCACAGGTGAACCAGGCACCGCCATTTTGACAGGAGTGACCAAATCTGCCACACGGACTAATACAAAAGACTGGGTCCTCCGCGGGGCTATGGACGCTCGGGCTGTGCGGACTACTCATAAAAGTTTAGACAGTGTGGTACCATTCCTTCTTACTTTATAAGTAAAAACATAACGCATACGAGCCACAACAGCGTTATATTTTTCGTCATTTGCACGTTATAACACGTACAAGCAAGAACTCTTTCTTCAGTATCATGGAGCCACAAAAAGTGTTTTCTACATAAAATGTGACAAAATCGTCATACAAATCACAGCTACAACACGCAGACAAGCCTTCAAGTAAAAATCCTCCGACGAGACCACTTGCAAAAGTCACGGGGAAAAACAACGGGCTACGTATACGGGGCACTACATCTCGCTTCGCAACAACCTGCGCTCGAGGGTCGTGTAGGCTTGTCTCTGCTGCACGGAACTTCTGGGACAGAGTATAAGTAGTTGCACTGATCAAGCTTGGCTTGCTACAGCGAAAGGTGTTGCGAGATCACAACAAAAAAGGTCGCGTGCGCCGTAGTTGTTCATAGCCACCAGTGTCCGTAAACATTATCTCGCAAAATAACAAAAGTAAATTAAAAGCACCAAGGACACAAATGGATTAGAACCCGGGTAACCTGCGTGCCAGCCCAGTATTCGACGACAGAGCAACCCCGGTGCTTGAAACTCCGCTACAAACTGCCCTTCAGGCAGGCTTTGCGTTAATATGAGTAATAAAGCGTTTAAGAACAGCTAGGGAACAACAATGCGTCACACAATGCGAATTGCGAAACGAGTGGGTCGTCGAATGCTCCAACCCATTACACAAGCTTCAGGCTTTATCGTCGTCAGCCACAGCATCAAAAAAACTGTACGAAATTCCTTGCAAGAAAGTGTCATACTTCTCCGAAGAATGACGAAGGATGGCATAGTATATGCCTGCCTACTACACAAAAATTAGGATGAGTAATGTTGTTGTGGGTACCCTGCAAGTGTGCTAGTAGCAGTAACCAAAAGAGATTTTAAAAAGGCCCCGAAAGGCCACTCTTCTAGCTTTCGCTGCGCTGCGCGTTCCACGCAGACCTGACTTTCTTTTAATATCCCGTTATATTACTGAATTGCTGGCTTCATTC